AGCGAAACGAAATTCGAGAAATACGTTTATTTCTTTCTTTTTCATATAGGTACTCGTATAACTATTTCAAATTGGCAATGTGTTTCTACTCTCTAATAAAGCAATTTTAAACCTCGTGCTTTTTTTTTTTATTTTACACAGTTAATACGGATTTTTGCATACGCATAAAGGCAGGCATACGGCCATATATTGAAAAGTAACACTAACATGTTCCCCAAAATGTAAGGATTAAACTGAATTAATAGCCTTGACCGTCTTAACAACGGAATATTATTATTGACCTTCTGTCCTTCAACTTTTGAACTTGAGTTTTCATATTAATTGTGTCTCTCTGAGGAACCAGTACAATAATAAATTTTGGGTGTAATCTTATTATTTAAAAACATTTCTTTATTTGTTAATTCCAAGTTTATTTCAAGATGTAAAGCACGCATTTTGATATTGATGTTCATAAAAGAAGTCTGAAAACGAACAAAAAAACTTTGTAAACATTTATTTGATTTAGTGATATAGCTTCGTTTTGGGTTGTAATATAAAAAAGAATCAATGTCGTGATAAAACACAAGTGATTTGTGGGAGTTATTCTAAAAAAAAAACTGATGATGTAATTAAAAAAGCGTGTTATCATATTTGTAAACACGAATTTGGTTTTCAGATGACTTCAGGTAATCTGAACGCTTTAGGTGTTACAGCCCTTGCGTCAGCACTAACTTAAAAGTTAACTTTTGAGCCAGCCGTCAACGTCAAATCCAACCTCCGTGATGCCAACAGCTGTATCGCAGTCTCAACACAAAAAAGGAAAAATGGATGCCTTAATTCCTAGAAAGATGTCAAAAGATCAAAAGTAGGAAGGAAAGTACATTTCAGCAACTAAATTAGTATTTAAATCTTAACTATTTATATCATAAACGTTTTTTCTGTTCTATGACGGTATATTGTTAAGTTGCCGTTCCATGGAAAATAGTTATGAATATAGATAGTTATGATAACGTTATCTATTGTACCATAACGATAACGTTACGTTATTTAGAAAACACATAACGACATACCGCTACTCCCCACCCGATATACTACTTTTCTCTTTGCTCCCCACCACACAGAAGTTTTTTTTTTTTCTTAGTTTGGCAACTTCCAATGGATTCTGCCAGCGTCAAGTATTTCATGAGAGTCACACAGTGTATTTACTAGTTTCCGTTTAACTTTATGTTACGAACTTACCTTACCTATGTAGTTATTTTCGAATGAATTAACATTATAATATTTTTACAAAATTATTGCTAATATAATAATATGGATATAGGTAAGTGACAAAGGTACTATAGTTTAATGTTATTAATGGATATGAAATCTAATAAAGTTTGAACAAAAGGAGTGAAAACTAAATTTAACAAAGACTAAGATTTACAGGACGAGGAATGTTATTAGGAAGATAATCGTATAATGAAACGGAGAGGTTAGGGCAGTTAAAAAATTTATGATCGATCGTACCTTCGTCTAATCCACACTCACAAATTGAGCTATCTTTAATCCTAAGTTTTGCTAAAAATACAGGTGTACAAGTGTGTCCCAATCTAATTCTACATATGACAGATGTGCTATGTTTGGAACCATTTCTAAATTTAAAAAACCATGGTTTGGAGGGGATGTCAGGTTGGAGTTCTGCATAATATTTACCGATAGACTTCTGAGTTTTTTTCCAAAGAGAGTTCCAATCTGCCATCTGATGGATTTTCGCAAGAGAAATAAGGTCATGAGTATATGTTGTATGATGCATGAGGGTACCAGAAGTAGATGCTTGCTTTGCTAAGGAATCAACAAATTCGTTGTCACGTATGCCACTATGACTTGGCAGCCAAGCAAGTTTCAAGTTAAGACCTTGACAAAAACACCTACACAGTGCACCTTTTATTTCAAAAATAATTGGGAATTTCGATTTACTTCGAAACGGGTTAGATGAAATGCTTTGTAATGAACTATATGAGTCAGTAAAAACAATACATTTGTTAATTTTATGTGCTTCTATAAATAAAATTGCTTCTAAAATAGCAACCGCTTCACCAGTGAAAATTGAAGTAACATTTGAATTTTTAAAATTTAATATAATTTTATATTTTGGTATCCAGACAGCTGAACCTACATAACTATTCTCGGAGAGTTTGGATGCATCAGTAAAAAGGGTCAACCAGCCTTCCCATTTTTCACGTAATATACTTAGAAATTTTTCTTGGGCTACAGGGGAATTTTTAGTCACACCAAAATCTAATATAACTGGAGGGTGATAACATAAAGCTTCAAATGGATGTACGAATAGAGGATTAAACATACTTTGAAATATGGGAAATTTGAAGGTAAGTATCTTTTGGTAGCTTTTAAGAATACATGGAACGTCTTTATGAGTCCAGTAGTTGTTATTCTTCAAACCAGAGTTTAAAGAATGCAGTTTAGAAAGCAGTGGGTGTGAAGATATCTGAAATATTCGATATATAAAGCGATCGGCAAGATACTGTCTACGTAGGTAAAGAGGAGGTTCGCCATATTCAACTTGTAGAGCATTTGATGGAGATGATTTCATGGCCCCTAAAATAATTCTTAAGCACTTGAGTTGGATTTTATCTAAAAGGTTAAGAGCTTGTTTATTACAAGGTTCCAAAAGAAATGTACCGTAGTCAAAATGACTGCGGATTAGAGCGGTATATAAAAGTTTTAAACAATATGGATGAGATCCCCACCAAACACCTGTCAGTGAACGAAGGATATTTACATTCTTTTCGCATTTTTGGGCAATGAACGTTAAATGAGGAATACCTGTCATCTTAGAATCCAGAAAAACACCTAGAAATTTAACATTATCACATGTCGGAATTATTTGATTTTGTACTGAGATTGAAATATTGGGACAAAATCTTTTTCTAGAGAATATTACTACTCTACTCTTTGTAGGTGATAAGGAGAGACCGTTATTAGTAAGCCAATTATTTAAGTAGAACAATGCAGAGTTAAGACGATAACTCAATTCTGTAAAGTTCTTAGAAGAGTAATAAAGAGTTAGATCGTCAGCATATTGTAAGACTTTACAAAAGGAGTTAACAGAATGTTCGAGATTATGGGTGTATATGTTAAATAAAATAGGACTTAAAACAGAACCTTGTGGGAGGCCTCGCCATATCTGTCTAGGAGGGAGCAGTTTTCCTTGAACTCTTATACATATTGACCTAACTGAAAGTAAATTAAAAATAATGCGAGTAATTCTATGGGGAATATCCAAAAGAAACATCTTTTCTTTGAGTAAAGGGAGGACATCGTTATCATAGGCTGATGATACATCAAGAAAAACAGCACCAAACGATTCTTCTCTGGAAAAAGCCGAACGTATATCAGAGGTAAAAACAGACAAGCTATCAAGCGTGCTCAGTCCCTTTCGAAATCCAAACTGTGTTTTGGCCAAGAGACCTTTATTTTCAACAAACCATTCTAGACGGTTTTTAATTAAATGCTCCATTATTTTGCACAAAGTTGATGATAGTGCTATAGGGCGGTAACTATTACCATCACTAGGATTTTTGTCTGGTTTTAAGATGGGGATAATAATTTGCATTTTCCAATCATTAGGGACTATTCCCGTAATAAATATGTCATTGATTAAGTCTAGAAAAATTTGCTTAGATTTTGATCCTGCGTTAGAAATAAATGAGTATGGAATTCCGTCTATACCTGGTGACGAATCTTTAAGGTGTTGAACAACCAATTCAAATTCTTCATTGGAGAAAAGTTCATTAAAACGTGAATTATTAATGTTTACTCCAGGTTGGGTTATCAATGGTTCACAATAACATAATTCCTCAAAGGAGGGAACCCAAGGAGGAGCAAGCTTATCGGCAAATAAATTGTACCAAATAGAGGAATCACATTGCGGTGAATAATTATCAACGTTATATGATCCGCGGAATTTCTTTATATTCTTCCATAATATAGAAGCAGGAGAGCGGGGTGAAAGATTTTCACAAAACCTAAGCCAACCCGTCTTTTTTTTATGTGCTAACAGTTTTAATGTATGGGCAGCTATTTTTTTATAATTTAAAAAGTTTTCATTAGACATATTGGAGGAGTATAGACGTTCAGCTTGTTTTCGTTTTTTAACACTGAGTGTGCATTCCTCATCCCACCATGGGGGAGAACAAATTTTGGTAGGAGGCGAAATTTTTCGTGTGAAACATGAATCTGCGGTGAGTAAAAGATACTTAACAAAGTTTTTGTAGTTTGTCTCTATATCATTAGAGTCACTGTTATAAAATTTAGAGAGTACCGAATCTGATAACGATGAGAATTTAGCCCAGTCCGCTCTTTTTATATTATATTTTAACAGCGGCGAAAAAACTCTGATTGGTATTGAGCAGTTGGCTAATGAAAGTAATATTGGGTAATGATCACTACCATAAGAGTGAGATAAAACTTTCCAGTTAATACGTGATGTAAGATTTGGGGTACATAAAGTTAGATCAACAACACTTTTAGGATTTTGAGATGGATATACTCTCCTTGTTGGTGATCCATCATTTAAAATGCAAATATTAAATTCATCAAACAATTCCATTAAGAGATAGCCAAAAGTATCATTTCTGCATGAGCCCCATGAGACATGGTGAGTATTAAAATCACCTAGTAATATAAAAGGAGGAGTAACAGATGAAATTATTAAGTTTAATTCAGTGATCAGTGATGGATGTGGGTGAGGAATATAGAAAGACAGGTATGTGATATCATTACATTTGCAAGCAACAACGTTTAATTCCTCACTATGTTGAGGAAGTGAAACCTTGATAAATGAATGTAATCTATTAATTAGGATTACAGCACCGGCGTAACCATCTTTCCTGTCTTCGCGAAGGCAGGCAAAACCAGGAATACGGAAGTGAGATTTCGGGTGAAGCCAAACTTCTGATAATGCTACAAGAAACGGGTTGTATTTGTTGATAAGATAGATTAAATCGCCTTTTTTATGCTTAATACTGCGACAGTTCCATTGAAGAATCGTAGCCATGCTTATTTATATTATTTAAGAGCGTCGATAGTTTCTCAAGAGACTGGGTTAAATTTGGAGGTAAACAGTGGTCGTCAAATTTCGAAATGATACACAAAAGTGTGGATATCAGTAAGTCTATTAAATTTTCATTTGGAGAAGTATGGTTTTGCTCATTATCTTTAGGGTAAGCATTTCCATTAGGAAGAGAACTTCTTGGGGTTTGGATCATGGATTCATGGGCTGTATGGTCATACCCATGATCGGATGCTGGAGATCGTGGTTTCCTATTTATATAGAAAGTTTTTTTATATGAATTCTTATTACTCGTATTAGGAGATGGATTTAAAGGAGTTTTGCTTGCAATGTCGGAATAGCCTCGTTTGGATGGGCGGACTCTTACAGATGCTTCGTCATAAGAGATATGTTCTTGGGACATAATTACTTTAATAGATTTTTGTCTATTAAATTCTGGACAGGATGAACTAATAGCTGTATGATTACCAGAACAGTGAAGACATGTGACCGAGGTAACTTCACATGATTCTCCATCATGTGGTTGTCCACATTTATAACAACGAGGCTTGGATCGGCATTTAGACTTAACATGACCGAAACGACAGCAGTTATAACATTGTATTGTTGGTAAGATGTATGGTTCTACAGGATATGACGTGAAATAGGCAAAAACATGTGAGGGCAGTAATTTACCAGAGAACGTAATTACAATCGTTTGTGTTGGAATCCACTCAACAGAGTTATCTGCTTTAATAACTTTACGGTTTAGACGACGAGCGCGAATTATTTCTGAGGAAGAGGCAACTTCTGATGCAGAGACGAATTCATCCATACCTATATCGATTGGAACACCACTAATGATACCCATTCTCGTAATAGCATAGGTAGGAATTACCGCTACAAAATTTGCTTTAGCAAGTAATGGACTTACAATAAAATCGTTAGCTAGTTGGGGGGAAGAAAACTCAATAGAAATACGATTGCGTCCTATTCTCTTAACACCATTTTTTAAAATTCCCTGAATATTGTTTTGGTACAGAAATTGACCCACTTTAATTGGCTTAATTGTAGTTCCGGAGGAGGGCTCCACTGTCGGTTTCATAATGTGAACAATAAAAGGAGCACTGTCATTACTATTATAGCGTTTCTTTTGTTCAGATAAAGGGTGAACAAATACATTCTGTACGGCTGCTGAAGGAAGAGAAGACATCTTTTGCTTCGGTTCTAAATTTAGGGATGATATATTATAGGCTTTGCGTTTCATTGGATTACCAGTATCGGACTGATAAAATGTATCAGTAGGATTAGAATTAATAAACAAGTCGGGTGAAGATCCAGATTTTCCGGCATCATCCGGAGGATCTGAATCCTGTTCAATCTCTTCCATCCTCAGTAGATAAGCTAGCTACGAATAATAATAAACACTTACGTACAATAATTAGATTGAAATTTAGAAAAATATACAAATTCAAACGAAAATAACGTCGTTAATTAAAATTTTCTTGAGAAAATTTATTAAACCCGTGTGACAACCAATCACCATGACAACCATCCCACACAGAAGTTGCTCCACCACAATTTAAATGACAGTGACTTGCTAACCATAGATAATATAGTATATTTAACTAAGATTTTTGACTTGGATGATTGTTCTTTAAGTAGATAATATACTATATAGGTATGGATTTCTTACGTGGTAGACTCATGCTGCAGCTATATTACTGGTATAGTTGTAGCACGAATGGGTTAACTAGACCGGGGAAGGACTACGCTCTCATAGAATACCAGTGTAAAATAGCAGCTTAACGCTGCTGTGTTTCGTATGGTGAGTGTAGAGAACCGGAGACCCTTTTTACTGTAAACGGGGCATTCTATCTTAGTCCTCATGTGTGACAACTAAAGATCGCCATAGGTGGTGCTATTTCCGAAATTTAGTGACTTGGATGTGCCTTCTAAATCCCGGAAATATATTATTTATTTATTTTATTAAATCGATTTTTTTATTGAAGATTATTTTGGGAATTCGTATTTTATAGACCGATTCAGTTTTATGCACATAATGTATTGGTCACTTAAGTCATCTCTTTCCCTTGCGCTTTTGTAGCTCATCCCGGGTGAGGTAAGGACTGGGTTTCACTTTACCCATTTAAAATACTGTAATATAAAGAATGTTTATGGCTTGTTGAAGATTCGATATTAGTTTAACTTTCCAGCTGTGTAAAATAAAAGCTGCTTTATCGTGGACAAGTTTGTATAGTAAAATCAAAAAGTACTCTTAAAATTACGCGAGCGACGTGAAATTGCAAGGCCAACTTTATGATTTTTTTACTCTAAATCTACAAGTCTATATATGTCACAACTAGGACAAAATGTCTTGAAGTTGTTGTGTTATTTTTATCTTAATTATTTAATCATTTTCATATTTCACAAATTATTATAATAAAAATGACGTTTATTGAGATGTAATAAGAACATTCAGTTACTCAACTTATATACTATATAAGAGATAAGGAACTACAGACAAGGTGATTTCTTTCGACTTGTAACACACGAGTTTGTTTCACATTGACGAGCATTGTAAAGTCATTATAGTTGTACACGTGATAACATATCAAGCTACCCATTTTTATTATACATAATAAGAACCCGCATATTGGCCAGTAATATGGCAAACAGTACCGCACGGGACCAGCTTATACCGGAAATAAGTAGTTTGATATGTCGTCGTGCTTACTCATGATATTTTAAACAACTTAACTTCATTTAATACATCGACATTCAGGAAAACATTATTGCAGGGTTCTGGGGAAGGCACCCTATCCTTCCCCCCCTATGGAAATGTATATTTTAGTTTATGCGTAATATTTTTTTTGTAAAATTATAACCTTACTTTTTTTACACAGGAATATTAACAATAATTGAAGTAATTATTACTTCTGCAACGGCTAGTATCGGATGTCTATAGTTATACCATTTTCAGAAGATTTTCAAAAGACCTGATTTTTACATTTACTTTGTTTTGAATAACGACTTTATTTTTATTAGGGGCGCTTAGTCATTGCCTATACTTGTAGCACTTAATTCCAAGCTACTAATATTTATCTCATATCTATTATCGTCACTGCGTTATCTGCGTTGCTAGCGATAAGTTTTGCCAGCAACGCCAAATACAGTTCGTTGCGGTAAAAATTTTAGAGCACCTAATTTTTAATCTTGGCACCTAATTAGCACCTAAATAGACTTTAATTTTGGCTTTTTCTAAATGCAAATTCCTGACTTTGCGTTGCTGGCGAGACAGAGCTCTAGTACGGGTACTTTGAACTTGCAAGCAGTACAAATTACTGTGGTGAACCGACTCTACCTCGGACTCTACCTGTGTTAACTCTTCATAATAATATTTATTACTGGCAAGAAACTTATTTGATCACGTGACTAGGTAGCCATAGGCTAATAAAATCCTTCATCGACTTCTTTGGTTTATAGCCACGAGGTTATTAGCAATTTTACAATTTATCAGTGGTGTAATAAACAAAAACTTCATATTCTTCGTACAAAATGCCTCCGAGCAATTCATTGCCGCCTAAAGAAAATGCCCTTTTCAAACGAATTTTGGTAAGTTTCGTTGTAAACACACAATTTTGTTCGTCTTGTCATTTCTGTCTTCTATTTCAAAATAAAAAAAAAACTATTTCGTAGAAATAATGAAAAATATATCAGACTGGCTTATATTTACGTAGAATTTGTAGTATAGTTTTATTATTCATTAACGTCTGCTTATTCCAATTAAATACATGAAAAAACAATCGACCTTGCACTATTTGGTTGCTTCCAATAGTAAATATAGGTTAGTATTAATTTTAATCACAATTTTACATGAATTCTACCTTCCAGAGATGCTATGAACATAAACAATATAAAAATGGGTTAAAATTCGCGAAACAAATATTGTCCAATCCAAAATTTGCTGAACATGGAGGTGAGCGTTTGTTTTTTTACATAGTGAATGGATTATATGAAAGCTATATTTTTTAATTGTTAGCGGAATAGCTTATATTATAAAATGAGTTTCTTGTGTTTTAGAAACATTAGCTATGAAAGGATTAACACTGAATTGCCTTGGCCGCAAAGAAGAAGCTTATGATTACGTGCGTCGCGGTCTACGCAATGACTTGAAGTCTCCAGTGTGCTGGCATGTATATGGACTGCTGCAGCGATCAGACAAAAAGTATGATGAGGCAATTAAATGTTACCGTAATGCACTCAAGTGGGAAAAAGAAAACATTCAAATACTCCGTGATCTCTCATTGCTTCAAATTCAGATGAGAGATTTGGAGGGATATAAAGTAAGTATATTCCATTTCCTCAATCATATAAGAAAAAATTTATCATCTTTGACGGGTTTACAAGCAATCCTAATGCTGCGAAAATCTCATGATATACTTTATTTGATATTTTGTTACTGTAAATGCTTTAAAACTTAAGATACCTTTCATGAACTAAATTCGGGATTCAGTGTATCAGAATTGCTGGTAATTATTGAGAGCTAAGTTGTTGATGAGTATTATATATCCTTTCGACTGCGGAGACTCTAACTGCCCTACTCCGTTGACTGCGGAGCTGTTTAATAAAATGGATGGCTGATTGTGCGATTGTCTATATAAATTTAATAAAGTCGCAGAATAATTAGTATAAGTAAATGTCAAGTAAAGTCAAAAATGTCATATTTCTCAATGAAACAAAGTTTTTTATTAGTTCAATTTTGTTTTATTTTAACCTTTAATCTATAATTTACAATATTTTATGTGCAAAATCATAGGCTACAATACAATATTTCATCATAAAACACATTAAAATTAAGCTTACAAGTACCCAACAATTAATTTACACGGATGTAGAATGGATGTAGTTCGGACTGGATGCGGCATTAGTGCATTAGTCAATAAAACATGGAGGGTTTTTTTTTAATGACTTTTTAGACACAGTAATAAATTTTGAAATAAAATTTACTTTTTATAATGCTTTTTGATTTACGAATTTCGCAAAGTACATACAAATAAAATGTACATTAAAAAAACATAAAATACCACAAACTGTTTATATTAAAATAAAAAATAAATAAAGATTTTAACTATTAAATATAAAAATATATTAAAATAAAAATATTTAAAAAATATATTAATACTTTTCTTTTTTAATAAATTGTTTAAAAAAATCCCGAAGTCTTGTGTTAACACATATGGCACATTCAAATGCCACATCTAGTTTTTCCTAAAACATCGAATGATCATGGAGTCAAAGAAAGCTCCGTTTGTCTGCTTGAGGGTGCTAGTTTCTTTATCAATCTAACAATTCAACCGAATTTGAACTTTATGCAGTATGGCAAACTTTAATTCCTTATTTCGCCACCGGCAAAACAGATAACTAGAATCTACAACTGCAGGCGTCTCAGAAATGGACACCATTGCACCTATTGCGTATTTACATTGAAATATTGAAAATATTGCACTTTATCCTCATTTTGATATATTAAAACTGTGAATGATGAACTATTACACATATTTTAACACAAAACTGACAGTAAACACTAAAATTTTACATACATTTCAAGTCAACTTTCCGCAACCTGCATGTTAGTTCTAAGATAGCGGTTTGCTTCATACAAATTAAAAAAACATTTCACACTTACAAAATGAAATGAAACACAAAATGAGGTTACAAATAGGAAGGTTAGTTACCCAGGCGTTGTTTTAACATAATTAACCACACAATCAATCAAGATTTGTACGAATTAATTGCAAACATCTCCGATGTTAGCGTGCGTCAATCACACTGATGGCTGACTCAAGGGACAGATGAAATCAACACATGATATAGATATAAAATCCTACTAAAGTGTGTAAGCTGTGGGGTTTTTATGCTATCCTTTTCTATCCTGTTTACATCGACATATGGTAGAATGAGTTAGAAATAGTGCTTAATGCTTTGTTTTGTCATTAAAAAAGCGAGTACAAAATGTCTAACACTTGGACACCCACAGTCAACGGAGATATTTTCGTGTCCAAGTGTTAGAGGATATATAACATGTTATATATCCACAGTTGAGAGGATATATAACATGGATGTTTTACATGACCTTTGTCTTGACTATGTTCACCTTTGGATCTATTGGTTGATGGACAATGAGGTTAATTAGCATTACCCTGTGGTCCTCCAGTGATTCTACCATATTGTATGCTATAGCCATGGCCTACCATAATGACTATAAATTTTCAACTGTTTCAACTATCGGCCTGTTAAATAATAATAATAAATATATATTTCATAGTCATTATGGAGGAATATCTGGATGACCTCAACACTATCCATAGACAACTACATCTGTTCTTAGTGAAGAACAAAACATGAAGTAAATCGAAGGAGTCAGTTTGAAGCTCTTTGAACTGATTCCTGTGTCTTTGGCATGCACAATCAATAAAATCTTATGCTTGAGAGATTGCATTCTATTCTTCCTGTATTTTGTTTTTCGTTATTTATATATAATATCTCATACCATAACTGACTCCAAGATATTCCTCTCCCCATCTTCATTATATCACCAATTTAGTCAATAATATACCTTCTCGAGAGCGTCTCTTGCCGACTTTGCCCACTCATTTCTGAAGCAATTGCTTTATCACTCTTTCAAATCACTGAATTAATTCTTTTACAACATTTTCCTTCAAACCGTGCTTTATTCCTATCACAAAATTTCTCACCCTGTCATTCAGAGTTAGCCTTAACATGATCCATTACAGCCAATAAAAATCCACTGCTGAATATACGCCTGCCCCATAGATTGCCTCTTAAGTGGATTTTGCCATAGTTGCCATTCTTGGCATACGGGTTGACACTGCAGTTTTTTTATTATTTTGACTTGTTATCAGGAAGATGCTGCTCATCTCCTGTTCAGTTTCCCTCTGTCGCCTATTACAAACCCACAGAACGATATGGGATTGTGGATATTCTAACACTGTCACTACACCTAAGTAGACCACACACTTAATGATTGAATTTCCACATTTATTTTACTTTTATGCTTCTTATTTTTCACCCAAATTTCACTAGCACACAGTAAGGTATAGATTAACACAGCATTGTGAATTGCCATATTGTGTGCCTTTTTTGGCATTTTCTCACTTCCCACAAAATAGTGAAGAGCCCCATTTACTCTTTGTTCTACATCTTTGTCATGTCTACCATCCTTTTTAAACACACATTCTTTATACGAACTCATCCACTTGCTTTACCAACTCACCTTTATATCTTATATCATTTTACTTTCTTCTTTTACAAAAACTATTATCGTTTTATCCACAGCTTTCTTTTAAAGATTTATGACCTTACTCATAAAAATCGCCGTTATTTTAAGATATGCTTAAACTTGCTATATTTCTCTTCTCTAAATGAGAATAGAAAAAAGTAGTTTAGTTTAGTTTACGACGGGCTGTTTTCCGCAACTCCACGTCTATGCGCGTATTTTGCGCGTGGGCAGGAGTAATATGCTTATTTGAACCATGAGATCTCCCCCGAAGAAGCTAAAAAGTCCTTTGATGTTGCATGCAACTTCAGGGAGTGATCCTGGCGTGTCGAGATGTTTCGCCCTGTACATAGCGACGTCCGGACATTTCAATAGCACATAGGCCGCCGTTTCTTCTTCCCCCATACATGCCCTGCACAGGGGACTATCTGTAACACCTATAGTAAATAAATGCTGGTTAAAGTTGCCGTGTCCTGTGATAGCACTTGTTACTATCCTGATCTGCGGTTTGTTCAGTCTCATTAGAACTTTGGTTAAACAACTGTTTATTTCAGGCAGGGCCTCCCTAGCTTGTTTACAGTCTACTGAATTTTTCCAAAGATGAGCATGTAGATTAGTGAAGTGTTTATGTACCAGTGAACGAACATTACCAAAGGGGATTGGTATGATTGGTTCTGGCCCTATAGTGGCCAGAGCCGATCCTCTTCTAGCCAGTTCGTCTGCTGCATCGTTGCCTCTGGATCCACTGTGTCCCTTTATCCATTGCAGAGTCACATTGTTGTTTTTACATACCTCATTTAATCATAGAAAAAAGTATAGAGTTAACTTAATTGAATTTAAGTTAGCAATAATCAATGGTTATAAGTAAAGCCGATGTTCAAGTAACCATCATTTCCAACTTGCCTGCTGACAATGCAAATATGACTTGATTGTCATACGTCCAAGAGGCATCTGACTGCTGCTAATTTGCCTATTCTTATTCCATATTCTTTGACTATCAAACTTTTCAAACAACTGTCCATGCCAAACAGCCATGGGGCCTGTCTGACACCTTTATGAATGCCATACACGTCTACGTAGGCCCCATTGATCCTAAGACAAGCACCGCTAGAGCTTATTGTCTGTATCAGCCTAGCATTTAATCTGAATGAGACCAGCATTTGTTATCAAGCAGCTCTGTTCATGCTGTCATAGGCTTTTTTCAAGTATAAACTGCACAGCAAATTTTCTGGTCTTTGACAAAAACTTCTTTGTGATTGCCATTATGTACAAAGAAAAAACCTGGTCCCTACAACCCACCCCTTTCTAAATCCAGGTTGATCCCAAGTTTTTCCTCCATTTTCTTTCTTTCATAACTCTCAACCAACACCTGCATTGCATACACTTTTCCGACAATGCTAAGTGGGCTAATTCCACAGTAGTTTTACAGTCCTGCTGTAACCCTTTTCCTTTATACAGTGCTGTTTTACTTGCTTGCATGCTCTTCATTGCTTCCATTATTTCATCCATTCTTATCTTACAAACTTCTTCCTTTTCGTTCAGTTTCTTGTTAATTAATTGCATTCATGCCTCCTCACTTGAGTTAGTGCATTGTTTTAAAATCAATACTTAAATTATCCATTGTATTTAAATTTTTACAACGGATAACATCAGTTATGAAAACCATATTAGTCTTAATGTATCTGTAACTTTTAAGGTGTTATAATATGTTATATACAAAATTTCTGCATGATTGGAACTTGATAAAAAAGAATGTGCCAATTTGTCTAGCATGTTCTAACTAACGATTAACGAATATTGGGTTTGGGACTGTGTAGGTGATGGGCTAGCCACCTATCACTTGTGAAAGAAGTGCTTTAGTGATATTTCACTAAACATAATGTCAACAGTGTTTTATAATCATAGCTGACTTATTACATCCTCCTATTTAAAACAAAATGCAATAGGACACCTCACTGTTCTAATGATAACCATTGATGGTACACTTATTACATTCTAATTCACTGTTTCTCCTTGGTCCAAATGAAACATACATAATATATAGAATAGGACACCATATTGATAATAAATACTTACTGCATTTTCAATTAGTATGGCAGACATTAATACACATAAAAAAGTTGTGAAAATTGCATGTCAGACAAAGAATAAGCAATAGAATATATTTTAACAATTTTTTTGAAAAATTGCATTTTGTTTGACTTCATAAAATTTTCTAAACTAAATTAGATGGAGTTTCAAGAAAACATAGGCATAGTTTTTTTACATCACAATCATCTTACATAATTTGCAACATTCCTTGGAGAAGCCTATGTTCAGCTAGTGTACTTGTGATTGATTGTAATAATGATGATTGTGATTGGTAGTAAAATAAAGATGACTACCTAGCTGAGGTATGTAGTGGCTATACAAATGCGTAGATCATCAAAAAACACCACTGTATAAATGCATTTTATATTAGAATGTATGCTTGTAATATTATAAAAAATCAAAAGAGGAAAAGCGTCTCAGGAAAAGCATGTTACAGTTTTTGGGTTAATTTCTAAAAATATTGTCATTTAATATATTCATAGCTTAATATCGAATATTTGTGTTTAATATTGATGGTTCGGGCTGCTATTTAAACCAACAAAACATAGTCAGATCCTAAAAGATCATCCTATAAAAGAAAAATTATTATTATGACTATAAAACTGTTATTTTTTTCCAGGACACTAGGTATCAGTTGTTTATGCTAAGACCCACACAGCGAGCATCTTGGATTGGTTTTGCTATGAGTTATCACCTCCTTGGTGATTATGAAATGGCAAATAGTATCTTAGATGCATTCCGCACTAATCAAATGAAGGGACCATATGATTATGAGCATTCAGAATTATTGCTGTATCAGAATATGGTGCTAGCAGAATCAGGGCAATATGAGAGAGCCTTACAACATTTACAGAAGTTCCAGAGTCAAATTCTTGATAAGTTATCTGTGAAAGAAACCTCTGGTGAATATTATTTGAAACTCAAGAGGTAAGTGGTATTTCTTTTTATTTTTTTTATCAATTTATTTGGAAAAAATAACATTCATTATTCATTATTATTTAATATAATTACAAATATGTATGTCTTTGTATCAGTGTCGGATTTATCGTCCACAAGTCTCTCGTTAACAACGTTGTAAAAATTGAGAGTGTGTCGACGAGGGTTGCGTACCTTATACTTAGAATCATCAAACGGTATCCGCTGAAGGTCATACAGGCTTACGCACCAACCTCGGCACACCCCGATGAGGAGGTGGAGGAAATGTATGACGATATCTCTACAGCCATGCATTCCTCCAAAACCCAGTATACGGTGTTAATGGGAGACTTTAATGCAAAACTAGGTACAAGAGAGAATGGTGAGCTGAAAGTAGGGAAATTCGGAATAAAGCAACGGAACCCAAGGGGCCAGCAGCTGGCCGACTTCATGGAGAAAGAGCGACTCTTTATGATGAACTCTTTCTTCCAGAAGCGGCCCCACAGGAAGTGGACCTGGTCGAGCCCCGACGGTTCGACAAAAAATGAGATTGACTTCATTATGACGACCAGACGACAACTGTTCAGTGATGTCTCCGTGATCGCGAGGGTGAAAACTGGTAGCGATCACCGAATGGTCAGAGGCAGACTGAACCTAAACGTTAAGTTGGAGAGGTTTTAACAGTGGTAGAGCCATGCGGCAGCTTTTACTGTCGCACGGATGGGCCGGCTCGAACCGGGGTGGTACCACGACCTCACAGAATACCAGCGTGAAGTAGAGGTTTACCTCTGCGTTTCGCTTGGTGAGTGCAGGTGGCCGAAAGCCCTTTTTACTGGAAATGAGGCATTTCATCTTAGTCCTCACGGGTGGCAGCGCATCTGCGTTTTGATTCGCAAACGAGGATAGATGTGGATGTCTATGGGCCGCAGCAACCACTTACCATCAGGTGGACTGGGTGCTCGTTTGTCACCCTTATCCTATAAAAAAAAAAGGTCTCGTCTAATGAAGTCAACGCTCCGTCCCCCTCGTGCTCTGTTCCAAAGTCCCGAAACCTTTCAGCTCGAGCTACAAAACCGTTTTCAGTGCCTAGAAGACTGCAATGAAGTGGACGATATGAATGATAAGCTCGTGGAAACTGTCCATGCGGTCGGAGCTAAGTTCTGCAAGAGCCGCCGCAGAAGAACCCAAAAACTCTCCGATAACACTCTTAATCTCATGGCTGTTAGACGGGAGATGAAACTATACTCTTCAACAGATTTGACAGCATACAGGCAACTGAACAGACAGATCTCCAAATGCATGCGGCGGGACTTACGCAACTTCAATACAACTTATATTGAAGAAGCGATCGAGCGGAACCTAGGCTCCAAAGTCTTTGCCAGAGATCTGTCTGCAGAAAGAGCCATCTGTCAGGGCTGAAGACCGAGTGTGGCAGCATCGTTTCCGGGGCACCTGAGATTTTGAGTTAGATTGAGAGGTTCTATGGGCAGCTGTACATGTCATCGTTGGAGCCACACGCAAGTGTGAGTAACGATCCAAGAGCGAGTCTTATTCGACACTATTCCGAAGATATCCCGGACGTCAGTCTGAGCGAGATTAGAATGGCTCTCCAGCACCTTAAAAACGGCAAGGCCCCAGGCGAGGAATGATGGATGATGATTGAATTACAACGGAGCTTCTGAAAGCGGGTGGAAAACCGGTACTTGAAGTCCTTCAGAAGCTTTTTAATTCCGTCCTCCATGGCGGCATTACACCGGAGGCGTGGAGCAGAAGTGCGGTGGTCTTGTTCTTCAAGAAAGGTGACAACGCTCTCTTGAAGAACTACAGACCGATTTCCCTTCTGAGCCGCGTCTACGTGCTGTTTTCGAGAGTCATTACGAATCGTCTCGCGCGCAGACTTGACGACTTCCAGCCTCCCGGACAAGCCGGTTTCCGAAAGGGCTTTAGCACCATAGACCACATACATACCTTTCGGCAAGTTGTACAGAAGTCCGAGAAGTACAATTTGCCACTATGTCTGGCGTATGTGGACTATGAGAAAGCCTTTGATTCCGTCGAAATTTGGGCGGTGCTGCAGTTCCTTCAGTGGTGCCAAGTTGACTGTCGGTATATCGAAGTGCTGAAGTGTTTGTACAGTAGAGCTACGATGGCCTGAATGAACCTATCCAATTGCAGAGAGGTGTAAGACAGGGTGATGTTATATCCCCGAAACTCTTCACCGCTGCATTGGAAGACGTTTTCAAGCTTCTGGACTGGAAAGCATACGGTATTAACATCAGTGGCGAGTACATCACTCACCTTCGATTTTCCGACGATATAGTCCGTATGACAGAATCGCTGGAAGAACTAAGCACCATGCTCAATGACCTCAATAGTGTCTTCCAACGGATAGGTCTTAAGATGAACATGGACAAAACAAAGATCATGTTTAATGTCCATGTCACACCTATGCCAGTAGTTGTTGGGAGCACTAAGCTCGAAGTTGTTGACGAGTATGTTTACCTGGGACAAATAGTCCGACTAGGTAAGTCCAACTTCGACCAAGAGGTCAATCGACGGATTCAACTCGGCTGGGCAGCGTTCGGGAAACTACGACACATCTTCTCGTCAGACATACCTCAAAACCTTAAAACGAAATTGTACAACCAGTGCGTGTTGCCAGTGATGACTTACGGATCTGAGACGTGGTCCTTCACTGCTGGCCGTATGAGGAAGCTCAAGGTCGCTCAGCGAGCTATGGAGAGGGCTATGCTCGGGGTTACTCTGCGTGATAAACTTAGAAATTAGTATATCCGCAGTAGAACCAGAGTAACCGACATAGCCCAACGGATTAGTAAGCTGAAGTGGCAGTGGGCCGGCCATATAGCTCGAAGAACCGACAACCGATGGGGAAGAAAGGTTCTCGAGTGGCGGCCTCGTACCGGTAGGCGAAGTGTAGGGCGAACCCCCACGAGATGGGATGACGACCTGGTAAGACATGCAGGAAGTCGATGGATGCAGGTGGCTCAGGACCGTGCTTTGTGGCATTCCTTGGGGGAGGCCTATGTTCAGCAGTGGACTTATGAAAGGCTGTAATGATGATGATGTCTTTGTATATGACGAAAATGGTTTTTGTTATTTGGTGGTGAATATATCTTTTTTTTCTAACTGCAACCAAATAAGAAACCCCGGATATTCGGAATTCACTTTTATTTGTTCTTCCGACTTTTTACCCCAAGTACATTCAACACACTTTAATTATTAATTAATGTTTAATAACTACAAACTTAATCAAAAAACATATTAAGTATTGCCGTTACAGCTTATTAAAGTCCGTGCATTATGTGTTGCATACAAATAAAATTAAACTTCTCGTTTTAAATAACATTATTGTGTAGTTTATAAATTCTACAATATGTCCAGATAATTATCAACACTAATTTCATTATTCCGTAGACTTAATTTGATATCCTGGACAAATTGGTTTCTAAATTTCTTTGCTACAATAGATGTGTTAGTCAAGAACTGGATTTTTTTTAATGTTTGTCTTTAACTTCATTTTAAATTATTTTATGCCAAAATTCCAATAATTCTGTAATCCTGTGAGGTACTCCTTTTAACGTTGACCATTCAAACAAGAAGTACTAAGTATACTATGTATATAGTTTTATAGACAATGTATAATCTTCGGCCAGTTTTTATTATGTTTATATAAATTACTATACACATCTGAAGGAGAAAATCGGAAGAGAAATAATATGTATGAATTCCGATTATACACCCCGTCTGAGGTTTTCGAGTATCCACCCTAGGGTGGATTTTTTAGGATGGATAAACGGAATAACCCAACATAATTAGCATTGGGAAAAATTTGATAATGATTTTGTTTTCAAAATACATTATAATGTTGTTTTTCAACTGACTTAAAAAATTGAAGATCAACAATTTGACTGCTTTTTCTAATGTATATTACAATATCTCTGAGGCTACTTAACCATTTATATTAAAACAGTATTGTACTTTATTGAATATAATAGAATAGAATTATTTTTATTCAATATAGATTATTACATAATACTAAGTGAAAGTCATTTTTTTTTATTCACCACTGATTGTAAAAATACCTGTAAAGAAACCACAAGAAGCCCATTTTGTACCATTATTTATATGAATTTTAATAGAACCAGCATGATAGTGATCACCGCATTCCCATGTTGTATTCATTCATTTATTCATTAATATTATAATAACCCATAAGTATGTACAGTTTTACTTTAATAAATTTTTTAATTTTGTTGATTGACAAACTTTGAACATATTCTGGGATTTGTTTGTAACTGGAACTAAAATTGTATACTATATTATAAATATAGTTGTATTTTGATATAAATTTCAATCGGCTTAGATAATTATTGAAGTTGGTTATATATATTTACTTGCAATTATTATCATTTGGTGAAACTTCCATCTTCATGTAAGTGAAAGAAATATATTATGTATTATGTGTTAATCCAAATCACAAACCAATTATTTACTATGGTTTTCTGTGACTCTTTTTAGAATGTTGATGCCGCTTAAGGTGTATTATTATTGTTTAGAATTGTTTATTAAATTACTTTCTAGGTTTAAAGAGGCTGAGGGGGTATATGAGGACTTATTAAAAAGAAATCCAGAGAATGTAATGTATTATCATAAACTAATTGAAGCCAAACAACTTAGTGATGCTGATGAAAAAGTGGCCTTCTTTGATGTATATAAGTAAGTAGTTCAGTCTATAAAAACTTCTTAAATGCATAACTAACTAACTTTTTAAATGTAGTGGTGGTGTAAGAATATCCACTAACATCGTAAGAGGCGTCAGAGGGAAATTAAAACAGAAGATGGACAGCAGTGTCTTTCTGATCTATGATAAGAACTAAAAATAATATAAATTGCGGTTCTCACCCCATCAGTCAAGTGTGGCAACAATGGTAAAATCCTCCCGATAGGCAATCTATGGGAGAGGCCTATGTTCAGCAGTGGACTTTTATAGGCTGTATGAACTTCTTAAATATTGTAAAGTAACAATTTCAATGGTCCTACTGCTAAAGAATGATGATATTTATGAAAAGAAATAATAGCGTACCAATTAGAGTACCAACATTAATGATATTATTGTCATACAGTTATCAACTCATCAAGATTTGATATTTTCCTTCTGTTTCTTTCAATTCACTAACTCTGCCCCGCGGTTTCATCGTATATATCACGTGCCTGAGCCGCGCGAAATGACACCTCGCTCATAGAGGCGTTCACTGCCGTTTTTTCTCGTTTCTCATCGGGTGGCTAGAGTTATGGCGTCGTTCGCGCGCCAAGTAGAGTGTTGAATTATTTTAAATTTTTCGAAATGCTCTTAAACTGTGCGTCCAAATGAGGTGCTCTACAGAGCAAAGCTTTATGAAATTGTCTTGATGGTGAAGTAATTTTCGTTCGTAAGGATTAATTCGGCCATGCCTAATAATAACGCTCATAAATCACTTTTTCATTTAAATTATCTTATTTTGGCTTCCGTATTAGAAATAGGCATATGGTATCGCAGACTTTTTTTAGATGGAGTAAAGATCACTAACCATGGTGTCAATGCAAGCGGTGAAGCAGTTCTGGAGTGCTATTTCTTCCGACTTGTTTAACTAACAGCAATATTAGCTAGCTATATACCCCGTGTAGTAGCGGGTAAGAATACTCACTACCCCATATCTTCCCATGGGTGTTGTAAAAGGCGACAGAGGGGCACTGAGGCAGAAGATGGGCAGCAGCATCTTTCTGATAACAGCAAAAAACAATAAAAAAACTGCGGTTGCCAACCCGCTTGCCAAACGTGGCAACTATGGCAATATACCCCCCATGAGCAATGACATTAATAAACTGCTCCCAGTCCCCGGCGGCCCCGCTATTCCTGGCTACAGTGGCGACCATGGTAACGGCGGGGCAGGGGGTGCTAAGAATCTCCGGTGGAGGTTTGGTTGCCACCTTCGACGACTCGACCTGGCAACTTATAACCCACGCACCCTGAGGACTGACGAGAAGATCCTGGAGCTGGAAGAAGAGATAGACAAGTTGCGCTGGATTATTATAGGATTATCCGAAATCCGAAGAGAGGGGAAGGACACGGTAATCCTCGAATCCGCCAACTTGTTCTATCACCGGGAGGGCGACCATCTGTCCCAAGTGGGTGTCGGATTTATCGTCCACAAGTCTCTCGTTAACAATGTTGTAAAGATTGGGAGTGTGTCGATGAGGGTTGCGTACCTTATACTCAGAATCACAAAACGGTATTCGCTGAAGGTCATACAGGTTTACGCACCAACCTCGGCACATCCCGATGAGGAGGTGGAGGAAATGTATAAGGATATCTCTAAAACCATGCATTCCTCCAAAACCCACTATATGGTGTCAATGGGAGGCTTCAACGCAAAACTAGGCACAAGAGAGAATGGTGAGCTGAAAGTAGGGAAATTTGGAATAGGGCAACGGAACCCTAGGGGCCAGGAGCTGGCTGACTTCATGGAGAAAGAGGGATTCTTTATGATGAACTCTTTCTTCCAGAAGCGGCCCCACAGCAAGTGTACCTGGTCGAGCCCCGACGTTTCGAGAAAAAATGAGATTGACTTCATTATGACGACCAGACGACAACTGTTCAGTGATGATTCCGTGATCGCGAGGGTGAAAACTGGTAGCAATCACCGAATGGTTAGAGGCACACTGAACTTAAACGTTAAGTTGGAGAAGTCACATCTAATGAAGTCCACGCTCCGTCCTCCTCGTGCTCTAATCCAAAGTCCCGAAACCTTTCAGCTCGAGTTATAAAAACGTTTTCAGTGCCTAGAAGATTACAACGTAGTGCAGATTGTTCAAGCAGTGCGTGTTGTGAGTGATGACCTATAGATCTGAGACGTGGTTCTTCACTGCTGGCGGTATGATGAAGTTCTCTCTCTGCGTGATAGACTTAAAAACGAGGATATCCGCAGTAGAACCAGAGTAACCGACATAGCCCAAAGAATTAGTATGCTGAAGTGGCAATGGGCCGGCCATATAGCTCGAAGATCGACAATCGATTGGGAAAAAAGGTTCTCGAGTGGCAGCCTCGTATCGGCAGGCGAAGTGTAGGGCGTCCCCCCATTAGATGGAGTGACGACCTGGTAAGACAAGCAGGAAGTCGATGGATGCAGGTGGCTCAGGACTGTGCCTTGTGGTAATCCTTGGGGGAGGCCTATGTTCAGCAGTGGACTTGTGAAGGTCTTTAATGATGGTCATTATGATGATTATAAAGGAGGATCAGCTGTGTCCATTTTTTAAAATCAAATTTGATCTTTTTGAAATTTGTGAAAAATCTTGTTTCTGAAATTTTTCCCTACTAATTGAACACACATACTCATGAATTATGTTGTGGTTTACATTAATAAATATCTTGGTTTTTTTTTTAAGTTAATTACGATCACTATAATCGAGTTTTAACTAATATTTTTATAGACAGTAACTTGATAAGGTTCTATTATGATTTCCTTGACAAAATTTAGTTACGTCTCTTACACGCGTTGCTAATGCAAATTTAAATTAAAGCGAAATTTAAGTTTCAGTCATTTAAAATAATATAAAATAATAGTATACATTTTAAATACAAATTATTTATATTGGGAATTTTTAATACCAAACACTAGTGATGAAACATAATGTAAATATAAAATTATTTGCGAACGCAAAGCGAATGTTTATTTTTAAACATTATTTATTAAAAAGAAAAGAAAAAAAAAATGTTTTTGTAGCATAATTTTCCGTGTTGTTATCTAAGGCTAAGAACTCATAGAACGATATTAACTAGCCACGCAAGGGTAGTGGAACCGCGAAATGCGTAAAATATACGAAATGCAGGTGTAGAACTATCTTAAATTTCTTTAACCCGATGAATGCTCGCGACGCGTGTGCACAGGAACTAATAGAACCGTTAATTTATCTCATAAGTTACATTATGCTTCCTTTTAGGATTGTAATTAATAAATTTATAAAGTTTACTTTGCATATTTTGTTTTCAAATTAGAAGTAAGTTATTTATAATACTCTAAGGTTTTAATGTCTTTGTTTGTAGTAAAGACATAAAAGATAAGAATGCAAGTTTACCCAAAAGAAAATAATTACTTTTATATTTTATATAGAAAAAAACAAATACTTATTATAATAAAATTCGCAAAATATTCGCATGATTTTTACGAATGCGAATGTCAAGAAATATGAGAAGATTCGCGAATGTGAATGCGAATGCGAATATTCGTTACAACATTAATATATACAAAACGTTGATTATTTGTGTTAAGGCTGCATGTTGTTGACTGTATATGTACATAATATTATGTATTTTTTTATTCAGTTTGCCTACCAGTAAGATAACAGTTACTTCTAAAAACGGGTCTTATACAATGGACTATTTGTGTAATAATGTAGAACTAATTTAGTTTAATCCCATCATTCAGATAGAGGCAGCAATTTATTTAAAACCACACGGCTGAATAGTTGATTAAGCAAGAGATATCTCTTGCTTGTTTTTTAACGTAAATTATGTGGGATATATAGTGTTTCGCTGTTTATTTATTTATTTATATAATTTATCATTTACAGAAAGGAGTTCCCGAAAGCAATTGCACCGCGGAGGTTGCAGTTGACGGAAGCACAAGCACAACCAGTGTTTGAACGACTTGTCGATCAATATTTGAGACAGGGTCTGCACAAAGGGGTCCCTCCACTTTTTGTTGACTTAAGGTTCGTTTATATAATAAGCTACGACATTGCTATAATTGCCTTGTAGTGGTGATGTAAGAATATCCACTACCCCATATCATCACATGGGTGTCGTAAGAGACGACGAAGGGAAACAAATCAGGAGATTTGCAGCAGCGTAATCCCAATAATGACTAAAAATAAAAATAAAACTATGGTTGCCAACCCGCTTGTCAAACGTGGCAACTATGGTAAATATCTCCCCATAAGGCATTCTAAGGGGGAGGCCAATGTTCAGCAGTGGACTTTGAGGCTGTAACGGTAAGGGTTGCTATAATTAATTTATAATAATATATTACATATGCTTGGAACAAGTATATTGTGTTTGAAATGTTCCCAAATTGATTTTTATCATCTAATGTAAGTTTTTATAGCTTAACAGTGATGTTGTTTATTATGTCTTGTTGATTCTACACATGTTTACTGTCTGATATCACTTAATTATTTTTTTTATAGGTAATAATTTTGCAATCTGTATTAAAACACAGAACTAATGAGTCAGATACGGAAATTAGTTAACATATATGTAGGTTATATAGGTTACATACAGGTTTCCTCACTATGTTTTCCTTCACCGCCGAGTTACTTATATCATTACTTAATATACTTTTTTAGTATATTAGTACTTAAAATTGTAACTATCAATTTCATTGGTACTGGTGGGGGCCGAACTTGCTCGAGTACTATAAAATTTACGGTGAGTTCTTAGGCCCCGCGTTACTACCGATTGAGAAAATTAATTATTTTGAATAATTTGTGGGTTACCCTAAACGCACCATAACCTACTGTCACTATCAGTGACAGTAGGTTATATAATATCTTATTTGATAGGTGCTTTAGTATATTTGACAAATCATCAGAAGTCTAAAGTTATTAATCTACTGTATATATATATTTAGTTTCACATTCTTTACAGGTCTTTATATGCAGATCAGAGCAAAGCAGAGACGATAGAAAAACTAATTTTACAATACATAGAGAATTTATCAAAGAGTTGTACATTTAGTTCAGAGCCAGACGAAGGAAAACAGCCTGCTAGTGCACTATTATGGGCTTATTATTATGCTGCCCAACATTTTGATTATAAGAAAGATACAGACAGAGCTCTGCATTATATTGATGCTGCAATAGAACATACACCGACGCTTATAGAGTTATTTATTGTTAAGGGGAGAATATATAAGGTATTTATAAGTGATATTTAAAATAATCAAATACTTTAAAAATTATGATTTTTATTACACTTGTACTATCTTGTTAGGGGATTCGTTTTCTTGCTTTGTTTCTTCCACTTTCTATTTTAGTCATTATTTTCAGTTATAGATGTGGTGACTTTATCAAGCTCAGTATTATTTTGTGTTCTTTCGTTGAGTGTTGAAATAAAAATATTTCTCATGTTCAATTTTATTACATACATGATAATATACAAACTTGACTATTAATGTCATATAAAATAAACATTTCTTAAAGGTGGAATTCTAACTAGACTTGCATAATCTGAAATTTCCCGTTGTACTTAGATGGTAAAGTTCATGCTTGATGAAGAAATATTTCGAACACTTGTGAAGTTTGCGAACTTAACAAAATCAATATATAAGTAAAGTAAAGTTGCAGCCTATTTACGTCCCACTGTTGGGCACAGGTCTCCTCTCATTTCTGAGAGGGTTTTAGGACAAGAAAATATCCGCCGCGCTGTCCCAATGCATGTTTGCGAACTTCACATGTCTTCGAAATATTTTTTTTCTTATTTCTCAGACGTGAAGGTTTCCTCACGATGTTTTCCTTCACCGCCGAGCACGTGGTAAATCAGCACTTACAATTGCAATTAACAATTTCTTTGGTGCCGGCGGGGTCGAACCCGGGTTGCTCGAGTACTGTGAAGCTTACAGCGAGCGCTAACCATCTGAGCTACCACGGCTTTTCTTTCTTACACAATTTTCGATCTTAACACATTTTTTTGACCAGACTTGGTCCAAATAGCTTGCTGCTTTTTGGACTCTGTCTACTCAAATATTACAGGCGTGGCGATATCTATGTATCTATGTACGTATGAATGCCCTCTTACATTAGGCTTCTACCACCAAAAGAGAATCCATCACCTATCTTTCCAAAAGTGTGGGTCTTATACTACAATTACATATCCTGCTGCATGGCGATTGCAACAAATTCTCCTTACTGTGGTTGAGGGTAGTCTCCCACCAGTGACTGGGACTGATGTAAAAGCTTGTACAAGAAATATATTGTATTATGTTGTTTATATTTGCAGCATGCCGGAGATCCGGTGTTAGCGTATAAGTGGTTGGAAGAGGCGCAGTCAATGGACACAGCGGATCGCTACGTGAACAGCAAGTGCGCACGTTACATGCTTCGAGCGGGACACGTGAAGCGCGCTGAGGAAATGTGCGCCAAATTTACTCGGGAAGGTCAGTTGCGTGTACTTTTTTTTTAATGTGAAAACTAATAAATAAATTTTCACAATCCACCCATTACAGTCTATACCACGGAATATAAAAAACAAGAGGAAGCCCAAAGTGGGCGGGGCAGGCGTGTCACAATTAGTGACAGTAGAGCGTAATAGACTGTCAGTCGTAAACTCAAATTGTTGCGAGCTGACGGGTCGCTGCTTAAGTGATATATGCGAAAATATGCTGTTTTGTGCAATTTAGGAGTGTAAAAACGAAAATAAAAAATAAAAATATTTCGAATAAAGGTGTTCTGTACCAAAGGCACGTGTAATTTTTTAATTTTTTGGATAGAAACTGTATAGACAGTCCACTGCTGAAAATAGGTTTCCCCTTAGATAGCGTCGATAGGTGGGATATTGCCATAGTTGTCATGCTTGGCAGGTAGGTTGACAACTTCAGGTTTTTTTGGTATTTTAAGTTGTTATAGAACATCTTTAGAATGCTTATGTGTCTCAAACGTTCACGCATATTTGCCGAAGCACGAATTAATATGTTTAATGCCGTTCAAAGATTCAGAATTGCATCATTCATGTTCAGTTTGGGGGGTGTAGAGACAAGATAAATTGTGGGTTCGCGGTTAAAGTGCCGGCCACAGCCTTTAATCAAAAATGGCTTAAGATCCACTTAGACTTAGATATTATTATATGTATTATTATTTTAATTTTTTAGTAATTTTGTTACTGTATTGTCGTTTTTTTATGGTATGTAATATGGGTGCAGTGTGCCTGAAATACAGACAATTTATTTTTATTTTATCTTATGTATTTATTAATATTTTACCAGGTGTTCCAGCGACTGAGAATCTAAATGAAATGCAATGCATGTGGTTCCAAACAGAAGCTGCGGCCACGTATCAACGGCTACAACAATGGGGAGAAGCCCTAAAGAAGGCTCATGAAGTGGATAGAGTAAGTACTTTTCTATCTAGCAAAAACAAGTGGCATGTGGGAAGTAATGACTGTGTAAGAACCTGCAAAGGAGGCGGAGTTATAGCCGAAATAAGAATTTTCAATTTTTTAGTTTTAGGCCATTTTGACCTCTGTAACACCTTTTATACCTGTATTATGCAAATAAATGAATATGAATATGAATATGAATGAGAACTTCTTGCCCCTATTCAACCATGACCCCCATGACATCCTCTTACATGATAGGCTATTCAAACTGACTATGCCTAAAGCTCGAGTCATCCCCAAACTCATTTCTAGTCTTTACTTCCAAATTACTTGCAAAAAATAATATCAATTTTTTTAATGATTCATCAAAAATTTATTTATGGATGTTTCAAATGTTTTTATGTCAGACAATCTTAGTATATCTGTAAGCTCTCACTCTCGGAGAACCTTTCCTCTGTAAGCTGGCTACAAAAAAATAGAATACAATAGAATGATTTTTATTCAATATAGATTATAAAAATATTTACTGAAAGTCATTTAAGCTTTAACACTGGCTTAACCAGCGGGACATTTAAAAAAAATATAATTTACAATATAATATTTTATCCAATTACTATAAAAACATTTAGAAACAGCATGCTAGCAATTAGGGATGGCCAAGGGGAAAAAATATATCGATATATATCGAATTCATATTTTTAAACTATCGATATATATCGCGTGATAAATATCGATATATCGTCATCATTTGCATGATGTAAAGATAAGGGGGAGGCCTATGTTCAGCAGTGGACTTGTGAAGGGCTGTAATGATGATGATGATGATGAAAGATAAGGTCCAAAATTTTATTTACTAACGATTGGATGACGAAAAATACGATACCACATTTTAAAATATATCGAAATTGATACGAATACAATAATCTGAAATAAATATCGATATATCGCGATTTAAAATATCGACGATATATATCGATTAATAAAAATATCGATATATCGATTAATAAAAATATCGTTATATCGATATTTTTTGCCCATCCTACTAGCAATCACTTCATCCCCAGGGGTTATTTTGATAATAAATTTTCTTCATAACATTTCTAAAGCTTTTGCTGGATAAAGCCTGCATATTTTAGAGCATATTTTAGAAGATATCATTTTAAGAAATACAAAAAAATCCGTTTTACAGCATTTCTCAGAAATAATGGAAGACCAGTTCGACTTCCACTCGTACTGTATGCGCAAGATGACGCTGCGTTCATATGTGGGGCTTCTGCGTTTGGAGGATGTTCTCCGCTCGCATCCGTTCTACTTCCGATGCGCACGTGTCGCCATACAAGTGTACCTACGTTTATACACGCAGCCGCTGCAGGATATACCACAGACGACTGAGCCCGATACAGGTTAGTACCATTATAAAAATTACAATACAATTTCTTTATTACTCTGCCCTGACTAGAATATGTTATGTTCAATTTTTTCTGTTTAAAAAACTTTTGATGACATTATTAACATATACGGCTGTTTTATTACTTTTAATGTCACTAGGTCACTTTCATATTGTATTGAAAACAGTAAGACTTTTTAATTTATATACCATTCAATAACTATAAGAGAAAAAAATATAGGTACACTTTTGACGAAAAGATTTATTATAAAAGTGGAATAATTTGGCAGCATCTATTACTATGAAGTGTCTTCAAGCCAAGAGTGAATATTTTTGCCAGCATCTTCACCTACCTTCATGTCTTTCTTTCGGGGTTTTCTATTTATGTTCATCAAATGATTTCATTTCTCTATTGTACATAAAATACATGATACCCTGTTCATTTTACCAAGACATTTTATGTAAACAAATTCTATACCCAGTTAAATTGTTCTTATTGTAATATTTACATTTAATGAAATCATCTGAGGGTATATTTTTGGTTTCCTATTGTCTCAAGTTTGTTTGAATAAGTTATAACTATTTTCTTGGCTCTGTAGTAACAACAAGTGGTAAAAAACATACGTGAGTGTCGTGGAACACTCGGTTGGAACGAAGTTCCTTATTATTGATAAACATATTATATTATTGATTAACAAATACAAATAAATGTATTACTAGCGTCTATTAAAATGAAGCGTCATTTAAAATAAAATACACTGTGACACAAGGGGTAGTGAAGAAAAAATCTTACACTTTTTGTCGCCTAGCTCTCATCCGCCAAACTCATACCGTCAGATAAGGAACTTCATTGTAATAAAAAAAATTTTATAACCAACTTCAATTTCAATTAGTAAGGATAACTCAAAAAGTATTGGTCCCAAAATATACCCATATTTTTGGTTTCCTATTGTCTCAAGTTTGTTTGAATAAGTTATAACTATTTTCTTGGCTCTGTAGTAACAACAAGTGGTAAAAAACATACGTGAGTGTCGTGGAACACTCGGTTGGAACGAAGTTCCTTATTATTGATAAACATATTATATTATTGATTAACAAATACAAATAAATGTATTACTAGCGTCTATTAAAATGAAGCGTCATTTAAAATAAAATACACTGTGACACAAGGGGTAGTGAAGAAAAAATCTTACACTTTTTGTCGCCTAGCTCTCATCCGCCAAACTCATACCGTCAGATAAGGAACTTCATTGTAATAAAAAAAATTTTATAACCAACTTCAATTTCAATTAGTAAGGATAACTCAAAAAGTATTGGTCAGACCTTGATCAAATTTATATGGGACCACATGAGAAGCACCAGCATTTAAATAAAAAAAAAATCATCAAAATTGGTTCACTTAGAAAAGTTCTAAGTGTTACCATACATGTTAAAATACAGTCGAATTGGGAACCTCCTCCTTTTTTTTTGTTTTGAAGTCGGTTGAAAATACGTATTTTTTATTACAATTGATCATGGTGAGCATTATTAAAAAGTCAAATTATCTAAACAGTAAAATGATTGAACATTGCTTCTGTGTTTACCCTGTTTACTACTTTTCTGCCTTGTAGTCTGTAGGGGTCGGTGCCACCCCCTTACTAACGGTTACTGTTTTCTTAAATTCTTAAATTTCATATACAAATACCAAAATACTGCAGCTATATTATGGTTGTATCACGAATGAGTTGACTGAACTGGATAAGGACCACACTCTTACATAATACCAGTGTGAAATAGCAGCTTAATGCGGCACCATACAAAAGGTGATTGTAGATAACTGGAGACTGATTTTTACTGGAAACGATGCATTCCATCTTAGTCCTCAGTGGTCTGTATTTTGATTCTTAATTGGGGATAGATGTAGATGTCTATGGGCCACAGCATCCACTTAACATTAGGTGGACTGTGTGCTTGCTTGTTATCCTTATTCTTGAAAAAAGAAAAGAAAAAGTAAAGAGTTAATTACTATAGTACAATGCAATATAATTGTTATTCAAGTAGGTATGAAATCTGTTTACTAAACTCCTGGCTTTGTTTGATCAACTTTCAAATACTCTCGGCTGTTATCAAACGCATAAAGCATTATGATGCTTGAAATTTGTATGAAGTCGCTAAGGAAAGTAAATTTTCATGTCGTTCGATAGGTGGCTATTTTTAGATTAATAGAAGTAATATATTAGGGGAGGCAGAATCAAGTCGTCTGGTATAGTGTGGCATTCATTTCAAGTTTTCGTACACATCTATGGGAGTTAGTTAAATACTTTAGAATAAACAGGAAAACTGAAACAGAAGATGGGCAGCAGCATCTTCTTGATAACAATTTAAAACAATGAAAAACTGTGGTTATCAACCCATATGCCAAGTTTAGCAATTATGGTCAATATCCTTCCTATGAGGCAATCTATGGGAGGTTCAGCTGTGGCCTTAGGCTGTAATGATGATGATTATTATACATAGAATATGACAATAAATAATTCAATTGTTTATAACGGAATATTTTTATTGTATATATAATTGGCAAGAGGGAACTAATGACATAGATATTATTTTGTTACTAGTTGTCACTGTAGAGTAGTGTAGATATATAATATTGTTATCTACTAGCTTTCCCCGCGACTTCGCCCAGGTGTATTTTTTTCTTGCGCAGAACCTTAAAATAAAGAAGTTACTCCTTATAACATTAGCTATCTGCCAGCGAAAGTCCCATCCAAATTTTAATGCGTGGTAGAGCCATGCTGCAGCTATATTATTAGTATAGTTGTAGCACGAATGGTTCGGCTAGATCGGGGTAGGACCACGCTCTCAAAGAATACCAGCGTAAAATAGCAGCTTAACACTGCTGTTTCGTATGGTGAGTGTGGAGAACCGGAGACTTTTTACTGGAAAAAAGGCATTCCATCTTAGCCCTCACGGTAGACAATGCATCTGCATTTTGATTCGCAAACGAGGATAGATGTAGATGTCTATGGGCCACAGTAACCACTTACCATCAGGTGGACTGTGAGCTCGTTTGTCACCCTATCCTATATTAAAAAAAATTTTTGATGCTGATTCGAAGATATGAGATCTTCGAATCAGCATCAAAAATCGTATGTACATAAGCCACAGCATCCATTTACCAGCAGATAAACTATGTATAATTCAAACTAATTCATTGCTGGAGAGGAGCACTTGGAATATTCGGGGAACATTATAGATCTTAGTGTTTATAAGGGTCCCCGAATGGTTTAGCATTACTTAATCGAAACGCATAAATTTAAGTGTCTGTCCGTAATATCGAAATAATGCTTTATGGTGAGCTGAGAGGGTTATTAGCATGTCATTAAGCCATTTATTTAATGTCCATTTTTATTTTTTTTTATCTCTGTCTGTTCTTTTGTCTGTCTGGGCTGATCCCCATCCTACCCATGCGAGGCCGGGGCAGTACGCTAGTATACATTAAAAAATAACACTTGTCCTTAAATGTTATAAAGATTTTTATACTTACTCAAAATATTTTTATTAACTTTTTCTAATACAATTTATTTTACAAATTAATTTTTAAAACTTTCTCATAATTAATCTTAAAGTATTTATAAGCCTAATAAATACTCTAAGAAATTAATGCATTAATTTTATTTTATAGTGAGTAAATCTTTACTTACTTACTATCATTTATTTTCTTTAGTTATTATTGACTTCATTTTTGCTTGGTTTTTATATATTTTTTAAAGTTTAGTTTTTACGATGTTTAAACTTGTTCATATTTTTATATAAAGCTTTTTGGTGGACTTTTACAATTCAAGCTTTATGTGGGATCGTTCTTTTTACCTTACCCTCAAAACCCTCAACCATGTCGGGCGAATTAAAGAATTAAAGTAATTTTTTTTATTGGACACAAAACACTATTTAACACGGCTTATACTTTCATCACCAACCTTTCAGTAAGTTATACATGTTACTGTCCGAAGTGGTCCACGAATGTATTCGAATAGCAGGTACGAATCCACGATTTTGTTAATATTAATTTTATTGTTAGTTTAATAAGCCGTTTAAAAGAGTTTACCATAATTGACTGGTGGATTGTAGATTGCAGTGCTAGACTACACAGTTATCAACTTTCTATAGGTCTACTCGTAATCTTCATAATCATCATCGTCATCATTATTACAGCCCATTACAACTGCACTGCTGGTCGGCCTCTCTTAAGGAATGTCACAAAGCATGGTGCTAACGGTCTTTTGCTCAATGTTTATTATTTGCTTTTTGATGGATTAAATAAATTACTACGCGAGGGATGAATGTTAGCTTACTCATGTTCTCAGTTGTCAGCTCTTGATTATATAATTAAGCTGGTATTCATTCACTATTTTGAGTTTAAACTCAAACTTCATAATGTCAAAATTGGAGTCAACACCATAATATTATGTGCACATTTATATATTGTGAAGTTTCAGTAAGAAATCTAGATTGTCTCTAAATACCGACGTCAGTTTTAGGGCATAACGTTATGACTTGCGACTCATGGTCGTCGTAGGCTCTTTTTTGATTTGATAATTGATTTGATGGATCAGGGTTGTTTTCTCTCTAGGTTATTAACTGATGAAATGAATAAAGATGTTATTTCTTTCTTCTAATTCGACTTAAAATTTTCATTATAATTTTATCATATAAAGATTATTCTGATTTTTTCAGAAATTTTTCGGATTCTATGTTTATGTTTTCACATTTTCCATTGTTTTATATAAAATAAGGTATTATTAAGCACTATTAATTAAAATATCGAAGAATGAAAGTTTTATTTGCATAATTGATTTAGTTTAATATGACACGTACTTTTACGGTAAAAAATAAATAATATGAAGTCTAAATATTTAATAATACTTATTGTGAACTATTTAATTTTCTAGTTTTATTACCGTACCATTACAACTTGTCTAAAGTCAATTGCTGAACATTGGCCTCCAACTATAGATTGCCGTATATTTAGGAGATATTTGCCT